GTCCTTCCTGTTGTCTTTGAAGCCACTAAGCTCCCATTTTGAGACTTACCGACAGGTGTGCATGTGAGAAGCACCTTCCCTGGGTCTTGTTGCACCACAATCACACTTCCCCAGCCCTCCAGCTCCTCAGGATCTTGGACTCCTGCACATGTGCCTGGTGCATTTTCAGGCCAACCTGGGGATTCGAACCCGGGGTTAACTGTGCGGTGCTCAGCACTTGCAGTTCAGTATGCTTCAGATTGTGCCACTAAGGCTGGGCCCTCCCTATTTCTAGTCCTTTCTTCCACCTCACTCCTTCAGGTCTTTATTGTGAAGGCAAACCCAGTCTCTTCCTTATGGACTGCTCTTCCATCCCCTAGCATCCAGGTCCAGTGATGCAGTGCCCCCTCTGACTACCAGAAAAACCATAGCAGCTCACCCTTGGAGAGTAGCCCAGGCCAAGGAACTGCACAGGTAATGCCGGGAAGAAGGGAGGCTCAACACACATGTGTTCTGGCCTCATTGCACTTTTTTTTTTCTTTTAAGATTTTTGCTATAGAGTGTGTGCACTTGCTAGAGAGACAGAAAGCGAGAAATCACCCCCCAGGGGATGGCCACACTGCAATCCCTTCTCCTCCATTCTCCTCTTGGGATTTTGGACATGCACGCACATGCTCCCAGCACGAATTTCAAGCTTCCCAGATCTGGGACTTGAACTGCAGTTGGCCACATTGGAGTCCAGTGCCTTAACCACTATACCACTTGCTGGCCCCCAGCCTCATCACTCTTACCTTTTATTATTGTTTAAAATATTTTCTCTCTTTAATTACCAAAGGATATATATATATATATATATATATGAGTACATGTCAGCGAAAGAAAGAGAGAGAGGAGGTGTGGGGGTGGGAGAGAGAAAGAGAAAGAGAGAGAGAAAAACACTCTCTATTGGAGTGAAGTCATGTATAATCCTTTTCCTCCATTATTCCTTCTCGTTAAGATTTTGAGCATGCATGCCCATGTCCAGCCATGTCTCTCAAGTTGCCAAAGCCAAGATTTGAGGACGAAATTTGAACCATGGCTGAGCTTTTTTTTCAGGTTCTTGCCATAGCATGTATGCCTTTGCCAGAGAGAGAGAGAGAGAGAGACAGAGAGAGAGAGAGAGAGAGAGAGAGAGGCAGAGAGAGAGAGAGACAGAGAGACAGAGAGTGAGAAAGTGAGAAATCATTCCCCAGGCAGGGGGGATGCCATGGTGCAATCCCTTCTCCGTTCTCCTCCCAGGTTTCTGGGCATACACGTGCATGTGCCTGGTGTGATCCCTAAGCTGCTGGGTCTGGGACTTGAACCATGGCAAGCCATGTAGGAGCCCAGCACCCACCACCTGCTGGCCCAGAACCAGCTTTCTCTGCACAGAACTTAACTGTTGGTTACAGGGCTGGCTCCACTCTTACCTTTTAAACTAGTGTTATTAACCCATTTCCAAATGAATAAACTGAGCCTTAGAGAGATCAAATAACCTATCAGGGTTGGCTCCACTCTTACCTTTTAAACTAGTATTATTAACCCATTTCTGATAGAATAAACTGAGCCTTAGAGAGATCAAATAACCTACCCAAGAGCTCAAAGACAACAAAAGCTTGTTCCTCCTGCCGGTTGTACTGTCCTGCTCTTGGTCTCTCCCTTTGCCTCCTCACCTGCAATTTCGACCCCAGGAGAATCTTCCCCAGAGAAGCCTTCCCCAAACCTCCTGTCTTGGCCAGCCCCTGCCACCCCTCCTAAGGCTGTGTCCGTTCCCTTCACAGCGCTGTCACAGTTGCAGTTGTTCATTTCTCTGGTTGGTTCTTGGGTTCATGTCTATCTCTCACACTAGACTGCAAGCTCTTAGATGAATGGACTGTATACATGAGTGGTCTTCAAAAAGTTAACAGAAAATGCGTATTATGAAAAACTATGCATGGATTTCAATTTTTGATAACAAAAACAAACTCGTACTTTAATTCCATTTTTCTATGAACTTTTTGACACTTCCTTACATGCATATTCATACATCCTTGTATTCCCAGGGAACAAAACATTATCTGAGTTATAGCAGGTGCTTTATAAATATTTTCTGAGCCAAAGAATGAATACTGGAATTAAAATTCTTCTTTGGGGACCAGCAGATAACCTAACAGTTATGTCACTGGGCTCCCATGTAGTTGATTGCGGTTCAAGTCTTAGAACCGGTGTCTTAAAACTCATGCAGGGCGCGTGTGCATGCGTGCCCAAAATCCCAAAAGGATAATGAAGGAGAAGGGATTGTGGTGTGGCCATTCCCCCTGGGAGGTGATTTCTCATTTTCTGTCTCTGTCTTTCTCTGACTCTCCAGCGAATACACTTGCCCGATAGCAAAAATCTTTCTCTCTAAAAAATAAAAAAGCAAAAAACAAAACAAAAACCTCTTCTTTGCGGGGCTGGCAGGTGGCATGGTGGCTATGGCACTGGACTCCCACATGGCTTACTGAAGTTCAAGTCCTGAACTCCTTGGCTTGAAAATCATGTAGGGTGCATGTGCATGCATGTCCAAAATCCTGAGAGGAGAATGGAGGAGAAGGGATTGCGGTGTGGTCATCTCTCCTGGGGGTGATTTCTCACTTTCTTCTCTGTCTTTCCCTGGCAAGCACACACACCCCATGGTGAAAACCTAAAAAACAAAATAAAACTCTCCTCCACAATCTGACTTCTTTTCTGACATCATGAGTGGCATTCTCCATGAGGACAGGATGAGTGAGGGTCATTCCAGGATGAAGAACTACCGCATGGTCATTTGGGGAATGACATTGATGTTCATGCGATAGTGGTGGCTTGAATCCAGGCCACATGTGAAGGAATAGCAGGAGAAAAAAGAGGGGCTGTGGGAAAAGACAGGGCAAGAACTCGCATGCCTGGCCGAGGACTGGGGCTCCCGGGGAACTGCTCCCGGGGAACTGCTGAGAGCTTTCAGTGCAGTGGGTGGCAGTGGGTGGTGGGCCTGACCGTAGTTCCCTGTGAGAAAGATCTCTCTGCCTGCTCTTGAGTGGACAGTGGGCAGAGTATGAAGGCAGAGCCCAGGGGTTAGGGTGCTGTCACCAAGGTACAGCCCTAGTCAGGGACACTGACCATGAAGAGTAGCCCAGCACCTAGGAGGTGAGCAGGGGCAGGGGTGGGTGTGACTCCAGTTTCCGGTTTAGGCACCTGGACGCATAGCTTTGACATCTCCAGCGACAGAGACAGGCAAGGCGTAGAGGTCGGAGGAGAAGACGCTGTTGAGGGCCGAGCAGTCTGATTCTGAGAAGCTGGGCTTCTTGCAGGTGTTGGTCCAAGATTCGGGTGGTGGCCAGGGAACATGGTACAGGGGAGTTTGGGTGGACAGAGGGACGGGCGGCAGGATGAGAAACAGTCTAGTCTCTGCAGACCGCTCTGCACTGTGGGTGCAGGGGCCGACAGGGCTGCGGTGCATCTGTTACCTCCTCCGTCTCTCCCTGTGGGTGCCTTCAGCTGAATGTAGCACCGGGAGAGGGGCTGGGAGAGTTCACAATGAAACTTGGTCAGGTGGTGGGGTGTGTGTGTGTGCCCAGCTCTCGGGGACACGCTTCTCCCTCCCCACAGTTTCCTTCTCATTCTTTTTTTCCAGTTTAGACTTCGGGTCTCCTAGTCAAGCCCCAGTTTCCTCCCCTGTTAAACACAGACATTTATCTCCTATGGACGTAAACGTAACACGTGTAGTCAGTACGTGTGTGTGCGCCTTTCTTGGATCACCTGTCCGTCAGTTTCACAGTGCTAGGCAGAGTCCCTCTTCCCCCAGTCAGCTACCAACAGAGATTTATCACGCACTCCCCTCATTGTGTTGGTTAGGGGAATTCAGACATGGAATTCTGAAGTCATGATAAAAGAGAGACTGAATTGCCCTGCAAGGTTAGAAGGTTTCCAACTCTCTAAAGGCTGCCCTTCCTCTCCCTTTTCTTCTAAGTCTGTCCAAAATTATTCCCCAAAGGAAAAATGGCTCCGAGATTGGGGGCGGTCTTGGGAAAGAACAGTCCCCACCTAAGACCCAAGACTAAGGGGTCAGGTGAAGCAGGTCTCAGGATCATTGCTGGGGGAGGGGAGCTTGGGCGAAGCTGTTCCTAGACCATCTTCTGCGTTCTTCTTCCATGACTTGCTGAATCAGTACGCACCCGAGAGTAGAATTCCTGTCCCAGGTCACAGAGGAGGAGCCCAAGCCAGAGAAACCGTGGGCGCTCCAGGCGGCACAGCCAGGACCGGGGACTGCGGCCTGAGAAGCCCAAGGGCACGCTCTGTCTGGAACGCACTCTCCCCATCTGGAAACCAGGGCTCCTGCATCCCTCCCTCTCTGTCCCCCAGGCGTGGTCAGGGCTGGGAACCAGGGCTGGGTCAAGCACCTTTTTGCCTTCCTGGGGCTAATCTTCCCTAGCCCCGGGCTTCTGGTCTGGCACTGGGGCGCCTCACAGACCTGGAGGGTCTCCGCTAGACGCCGGTGGGCAGAGCGCCGTGAGGACGCCAAGGCCGGGTGGAATGGGTGCGCAGGTCGGCGCCGCACGGAGGCGCGTGGAGCGGAAGCGCAGGACCGGGAGCTGCTAGGAACCGCGCAGAGTGGCAGCCCCGCCGGGTGCCCGCGGCGTCTGGCCCCCGCCCCCTCGGCGGCAGCCCTTTGCCGGCACGCAGGCCCCAGCCGCGGCTGCCGCCGCCGCCTGGCGCGCTGCTGGCTCCCAAGAACAGCGCTGGCTGCCCGCGGGTACCAGCCTTTTCTTGCCCGGGAGCTGGAACCGGAGAGGGGCACCTTGGCCATAGACTCGGAGGTTCCCGAGGAGGAGAGCAGTCCCCGCACGGTCCAGGGCCGGGCACAGCGCACGGTGAGCGCCCCCAGGGCTCCGGGGTACCGTGGCTGCGGGTATCGAAGCACCCCTCGGGGTGCCGGATGGGGCCGCCTGGGGGGCGCAGGTCTGAAGTGGAGACCACTCGCAGTCCTAGCCTGTCGCTGAGCCGGAATGCTGCCGCCGGGGCGCAACGGCACCGCGGACCCCGCGCCCTTCCCGCTGCAGCAGCGGCTGGCTCAGGAGGGCGCCTTGGGGGGCTCGGCTGGGGCGCAGCCGCTGGGGCCGGCGCAGGTGGTCACCGCCTGCCTCCTGACGATGCTCATCGTCTGGACCCTGCTGGGCAACGTGCTGGTGTGCGCGGCCATCGTGCGCAGTCGCCACCTGCGCGCCAAGATGACCAACGTGTTCATCGTGTCTCTGGCCGTGTCCGACCTCTTCGTGGCTCTGCTGGTCATGCCCTGGAAGGCAGTCGCCGAAGTGGCCGGTTACTGGCCGTTTGGGGCATTCTGCGACGTCTGGGTGGCCTTTGATATCATGTGCTCTACCGCCTCCATCCTGAACCTGTGTGTCATCAGCGTGGACCGCTACTGGGCCATCTCCAGGCCCTTCCGGTACGAGCGCAAGATGACCCAGAGCGTGGCCTTGGTCATGGTCGGCCTGTCCTGGACCTTGTCCATTCTCATCTCCTTCATCCCAGTGCAGCTGAACTGGCACACGGACAAGGCGAGGTCCTGGGGCGGAGCGGACTTGCCACCCAACCTGGTCAACGCGACGCCCTGGGAGGAAGCCGGCGAGTCGGAGGTGAGGGTGGAGAACTGTGACTCCAGTCTGAACCGAACGTATGCCATCTCCTCATCACTCATCAGCTTCTACATTCCCGTGGCCATCATGATCGTGACCTACACGCGCATTTACCGCATCGCCCAGGTGCAGATCCGCAGGATTTCCGCGCTGGAGAGGGCCGCGGAGCACGCGCAGAGCTGCCGAAGTCGCGCAGCCTGTGCACCGGACAGCAGCCTGCGAGCTTCCATCAAGAAGGAGACCAAGGTCCTCAAGACCCTTTCGGTGATCATGGGGGTCTTTGTGTGCTGCTGGCTGCCCTTCTTCATCCTCAACTGCGTGGTCCCTTTTTGCAGCGGCGACGCCAAGGGCCCGAGGGCTGGCCTCCCCTGCGTCAGCGAGACCACTTTTGATGTCTTTGTCTGGTTCGGCTGGGCCAACTCCTCGCTCAACCCTATCATCTATGCCTTCAACGCCGATTTCCGGAAGGTGTTTGCCCAGCTGTTGGGCTGCAGTCACCTCTGCTCCCGCACCCCGGTGGAGACAGTGAACATCAGCAATGAGCTCATTTCCTACAACCAAGACACCGTGTTCCACAAGGAGGTCGCCGCTGCCTACATCCACATGATCCCCAACGCAGTGACCCCTGGGGAAGGGAAAGTGGACAATGAGGAGGGGGAGAGCCCTTTCGGTCGAATGTCCCAGGGCTCTCAGACGTCTCCAGATGGCGACCCTGCTGCCCAGTCTGTCTGGGAGCTGGACTGTGAAGGGGAGATTTCATTAGGCAAAATCACACCTTTCACCCCAAATGGATTCCATTGAACTTCCTAGGAAATGCCTCATGGAGTTACATAACTGCACATTCACAAGCATGCAATGCACACACAGAAATGCACATTTCCAGAGCTGCTCGGTTTATCAGTGTTTCTGTGTCTCTGTGTAGTGGCCCCCGCGCTGAGAACCTCACCCCATTGATTCACGATTGACAGTTGGCAGAGACAATTGGAATACGCCCAATCAAAGCATGTCCCAGCCTAGCTGAGATGGCCCATTAGAGAAGAGGAGGTGGTGCTTGGTTCTTAAAAGAAAAGATACTTGGTTCTTAAAAACTGTACTCTCCCTCCTCTTTTAAACAAACGGCTGTTTAGTGACTTAGTGTTTGGGTTGGTTTTAAAAGATAGGGGCCGGGCGATGTGGTGGTGAAGGGTAGTGCCTTGCTTCCCACGGCCCTGCACTTACGAGGTTCCTGCTTTTTGAGTTGGCGGGTGTCTTTACTGTAGATGAGCTCTTCCTGCTTTGTTCTGGTGTCTAGTAAACGCTAATCAGGAGTCTTTTATGGGATGATTAACTCTGCTGTGCTAGACTGCTTTCAGGAGGGCTCCTAGGGAAACTGTAAGTGCACTTTTAAAGAGCAGGGAAGATGCTTTTTGGGTCTGGGAGTGACACTTATTTTCTTGACAGACAGTTTAGCTTTAGCGGAACACACAGGGCGAAAGAACTTAAAGAGCTTCCAGTTTCTCAGGTTTCTTTGGATTAGATACGCACTTCTGGAAGTGTGTGCTGAAAGCGGGCTTCTATGCCACAAGATACGGTCTTCTCTAGCTTGGAACTCTGTTTTTTTCCCTCCCATTGGAAATCTTCTTTTTAAAATAATGTCACATAAGACAATTCTTCTGATTCCTAGAAAGATGCTTCACTGAAAAGATGATTTAAAACAAGAGCCTGATCTTTCTTCATCTCAAATCTGTAATGTGTTTTAGGATGACGTGGCTGTTGAGACACCATGTTTTCTGAAGGGCTTTGGAATGTGTGAATCAATGCACTTTAAAAAAGGAATTCCATTTTAAAATAAGCACTTTCATTTGTGGATAATAACAAATAGGGGAATATGTTTTGGTTAGAATACAGAGTTCAGAGATGAAATGTGCATGAACTTGAAATTGGAAAATTGGTAGGTTGAGGTGCTCAAAAGAAAAAGCCAAACTAATCCTAATCTTTTATTTCGTTTTTTCTCTCTCTGACGTGCACAGCAAAGGGGAACGTTTTACTCAGAGCCATTCCAGTTGAGAGCTTATTATTACCATTTGATGTAAATGCGAGCACTAATGGGAGCAAATGAAATGTGAATCTATAATTTCTTACAAGTCCCTGCTTTGAAGCAGTCTCATCAAGGACAGTCTTATCAGTCAATCTGACCTCTTTAAGGATAATTCTATTGTCAGTCTTCTGTACAACGATGTCTTATTCACTGCAAGATGTCAGTGCCTGGCTTTATAAATATTTGTTGAATGATAGCTAGCTATTCCAGGAATGGCAAGCTTGAAAGCAAATCCTATTTGGCACGTTAATTTTCATATATAATTTAGTCAAACTGATGCTGGAGTTGGAGGTTGTGTTCCGTGCAGATCTCTTGTGAACCAATAGCTAAGTGAATCATTAGGGCAACATCGGGGCAGAGGAAAATGCACAGGAGGTAGCTGTGTGACCTTGAGTGAGTCAGTTCACCTCGCTGGGTCTCACCTTGCATTTGTAAACAGTAAGACTTATACTAAGCTGTTTTGAGCTTTGTGATGCAGATGTTTTTTTTTTTGAGAGTTTTTTTTTTTTTTTTCTATCAGGTGCGTATGCTCGCCAGAGAGATAGAGAGAGACAGAGAGACAGAAAGCAGGAAATCCCCCCCCAGGGGGGATGGCCACGCCGCAATCCCTTCTCCGCCATTCTCCTCTCGGGATCTTGGGCACGCACGCACACGCGCCCAGCGTGAGTTTAAGCCACTGGGTCTGAGACTGGAACTGCGGTTGACTACGTGGGAGTCCAGCGACATAGCCATTACGCTAACTGCTGGTCCCATGTGATGCAGATGTTAATGGATGGAGTCTATGGTGAAATAAACCCAGCAAATTCAAGTTCAATACCCTTTTTTTTTTTTTTTTTTTTTTTTTTGTCATAGGGCTTCTGAGGGCTTTCCCTGTGCACTATGACTCAATTCCCAATGTCTTTGTCCTTGTGAATTGTCTTTTGGTGAAATTCCTATTACTGTTTCGCAGAGACTATAGTTACGGGAGTACAATTTGAGAAACTCGAATTAAACTGATCTGGAAGCCTCTAAAAGCCTCCACTAGAGAAATTCTGTTCTAAAGAACAGTTGTTATAAGCACAATCTTTTGTGGCAAATGCTGTTCTAGGTCCCAGGTTAAGTAAATTCTGTGTTCTAGAAAATGGACTGTTTTCGGAATTTCTGTAATATATCACTCATCATTCATTAGCGTTATTTGAAGCTAAATTTGTGGTAGGCACTGTCCCAGGTGCTGGAATACAGTCATCAATCAAATTTCCTATCGTCTTGGAACTTACATTGATTTTGGGGAAAGATAAGGCAGTAATCACTGCTATACTATGCTGCATTGTACTGCCCTACACTATACTGGTCATGATATACAGCCCTAGGCAGTGGCAATGGCTGTGCTGCAGAATAGGACCTCGGGTAGAGGGGTGAGGCTGTTATCTCACTCAGGGTGCTCCGGAGTGGAGCCTTGCTGGCGTCTAGGAGGAAGGCAGAGGGCATGGCAAGTGCAGAGACCTGGAAGTGTGTCACACTTGGCATGATCAGAGAAGAGGAAGTCAACAGTGTGGCCAGGGTCGTGAAAGGGGAGTGGGATGGAGCCAAGTGCTCCTGAAATAGGAGCCATCACAGGAGCCTCATCCTGTGATAGACTCCTCCACACACTGATTCGTTGCTCCCTCCCAATCCTGGGAGGTAGGCACTTTTATCCCCTCCATTTTACAGATGAGGAAATAAAGACATTGTCAGGTTAAAAATGTAGCCAGAGGCCACACAGCACATGATGGCAAAGCTAGACTGGAATCCAGGCAGCCTGGCTGTGCAGTCTTTAATCTCTACGGCCCTTTGATGGTGAGAGAGGCTGCAGTGTATCCCCCCAAATGCATGGATCAGAACGTTCCACTTTTTGTTAATTACTGGTGATTACTGGTTTGCTGATTCACTCCTCTGTCACCTTCTCTGTGCACAGCTTTGTGTTCGAAGGGAAGGCATCAAAGGGTAAAGGATGAACTAGTCTGTGGTCTGAGCCCTTATAAGGAAGGGCCAAGTGCTTTGCTGGACTTTTATTTAATCCTCATATTAACGTCGCATATTATTATTTTCCCATTCTACAGATGAGGACACTGAGGCATAGAGAGGTTAAGTTGTTTGTCCAAGGTCATCTGATAAGGAGTGGAAGTAGGGTTTATATTTAGGCCAGTAGTTCTCAATTGGAGGCAATTTTGCACTACAAGGTGGGGGATAGCATTTGACAAAGTCTGAAGACATTTTTGGTTGTCATAGGTGGGTGTAAGGTGCTTTTGCCATCTTGTGAGTAGAGGCCAAGATTGTTGCTAAACATCGTACCATGCACAGGAGAGCCCCCCAACAAAAAATGATCAGGCCAAGTATTCATAGTAAGGTCATTGAGAGGTTGACTCAGGCCAATGGACTTCAGGTTTTAGCTGCCTTCCCACAGAGCCACCCTGCTTGGGATTTGAAACTCCACAGCCCCAAGTTTTCATTTTTTCCACCCTTTCTTAGTTACATGAATTTGGGCACCTCTCTGAGTTTCATCTCTTTTACTTGAGCAGTGAGTACAACAAACCCACAGAGTTGGATGAGAATGAAATAAATGTATATAACACAAGTGTTATATCCATGC